TAAGCGGCTGGGCCTATTAACAGTGGGCTTAATAACCGGCGACTACCGTAGTTTGGTGGACACACCAACCTCAGAAAGTTGATCCTCGTTGACCTAGATGAATGGGTTATCGAGTCTCTGAAGGAGCAGCACACTACCACTGTCGTCCTCGCAGTCGTTTCTTTCTGGCCTTACCACTTGCTCCTCATTAACCGTCAAACATTACCTGTTTCTGGAGCTAGTTTCTTACTCATTGACTATGTTTGTTTGACAGGTCTCCAGATGCGCTGCGTGGGCAGCGTCCTCACTGGCTTGTCCCTGGCGGATAGCGACGTTAACCTCGACGCCTTCATTGAGGCAGTCAATGGTGTGGCAAAGGATTGTCGCCTCAGTCTGGGTGTACCCGGAGCAGCTAAGAATACTTTGGCAGCGCAGCAGTCAGACGATCCGACTGCGTTTGAAAATGCGCACACCCCCGTCTTCGTTGAGCTGTACAAACCGGGTTTCGGTTCACTGCTGCTGGAAATTTTGCAAATTCTTCGGGCGGCTGCAACGAATTCTCCTTCAAGTACGGATGCCAAGGATGGACTTCCACCCTTCCCTTCTATACTTAGGTACTTTGATTGTTTATGTTTTCTACTCGTACACTGGTTAGGCCTGAGGACCGAAGTTCAGAAAAAGTGCAGCCACGAACAAATAAGTCTACCAATAGCCGCCCCTATCACACTGCGTCCAACATGAGGGCTACTTGATTAACTTTGCCACCGGAACTTTTAAATTAGTTTAACAGAATAGATGACAGGATACAATCAGGTCAAGCACCAGGCCAGATATTTGATGTTTTGGACAGATTTGTGTGAACCAAAACTTGCACTGTGTTTGAGCGATATTAGGCCTTGATCGTGGTGCTGATTTTGGCCGATACACCATATATTTCCATTATTCGACACAAAGACTCACGATTGACGGAATCTAACGCAGCGGCGGGGTCCACGAAACAGAGGGCCATCGGTTTGTGATAGCCATTGCGGAATTCCAAACTGCGCCTCAGTGTAAATGTATGGCCCGCGCATAGGCGCCTAGCTCGGACTCCGGCTTGTTTGGGCCTCGTCCAAGAGTCAGACACAAACTTGAATCGTCTGAGAAGGACAGCAGCGAAGACCTTCGCAGCCGGGTCGGTGGTACTTATGTAATTCTCCTCTCTCGAAGATGGGCACATGGGTGTCTTATCTTATCCTTTCATGCCTTCTTAATCACTTCATGGAGCCAGGCTGCCGGAGTGTCGACCAAAGACTTCTAGAGTTTAGCGAGAATACCTATTCCGGGCGCCCTTTCGTCGTGCAGCCTGTGTATTGTACTGACAACTTTCCTCTCAGTAAGG